CAGCTCGAGCTCGGCGGCTGCCGCGTCGACGGGCAGCCCGAGACGTTGTGGCTGTGCGACGTGACGCCGTGGTCAGAGGTGCTGGTAGCACCTGTGGTGGACGAGGTCACCTTCGACCAACTGCAGCTTGGACTTCGATATCGTCGCGGAGGTATCTTGATGCAGACCGCCGGGCTGGCCCCCAATGCCCCGGAGATCCTCGGGCAGTTCGCGCGCCGCAGATGCCCGTGCAAGCGCGCCCATGTCCACGTTGAAGGTCGCAGCAGTTCAGATTTGCCCGTGGAGGATGGCCGAGAGATTCCTTCCAGGGCGTGATGAACGTGCGCCGCCGTCTGAGGCGTCCGCGCCTCGTGAAATTTGTTCGCGGGCGCGGTGCCCGATTGGCGGCCTCCTCAGCGCCGGCCGCCGCAGCCGCGGAGGGCGAGGTCAGACGTGCAATGTCGGCCGAGCGCGCGCGCTACACCTGCGGGGCGCGCAAGCTCAACGCGCGGGCAGACTCGCCCGCGCGCCCCAGGAATCCAGCAACTTGCCGCTAGCATCGCATCGCCCCGATCCATTGAGAGTGCGTCGGCTGCCGGGGGGAGAAGGAACGCGACCGCCCCGTGCGCGCCGGCGCATGCGGCCGCGCCCGCGCGCCGGCCGGCGCCCGTGAGCACTTGCGCGACCTGGGGGCCGCGTCGCTCCAGCGATCAGCAGGCTCCGCTCCCCGGTGGCGCGCGCCTTGGAGCGGCAGGCGAGGCTGCTCTGCCGCCCGCGCCCGAAGGATAATCAGGAGCCAGCTTATCATCTAGCGCGGGGGCTCAGGGTAGTGGTACGGGCGACTGCGTCGCTCGACCAGGGGTGCAAGCCAGTCCAGCCGCTGGCGCGGGGCCCCGACGGGCAGCGCCCCGAGCTGCCGACGCAGCTGTAGGCAACCTGGCGCCCTCAGACTGGACTTGCTTCGATGTCGCCATATCCCTGCGAGCACTTCGCAGTGGCTCGCATGAGACGGGCGCGCGGGAACTGCGCGAGCTGCTGGTGGAGCGCCGCCATGGGGGGGATGGCGCGAGCATTGCGAGCGGCCAACGTGCCGTGAGACATGTTCGACCTTATCCCCACGGTGGTCAACAACTGTAGGTCGCGCCGCAAGTGGTTGCCACCAGCGCGCCAGACCATCCCCGCGCTCCGCCTTTCGACGCGATTGAACCAGCATGATCGCATGATCGCCCGCTGGATCGTTTGCGCCGCGCGGTGGCATATCGGCCAGGATCGCGCCCAAGCGCGACTCGACGCTGCTTGCCGCCGTCGACCGGGCGTGGATGCAGCTGCTCGGTGCGATGGAGACGTTCGTCGCGAACGGCGGCGGCGCGGTGGCCCCGCCAAACTTTGTGAAGGCACTGGCGATGCGAGGAGTACATGTGGATATTCGAGCTCCTTGTCAGCAGGCTCGCTTCGTCGAGCGACGTGGCGCCGTGCTGCGACGCGCAGTTGACGCCGCAGAAGAACAGCTGGAGGTGCGAAGTTACCAGGGCGAACTTCGACTCGATGCTACCGCGCGCTATCTTTGGTGGCAACAGCCGCACCTACGTGGGCGGCGTTTCACAATGCAACGTCGTCTTCGGAAGGCAGCCGCCCATGCTGCTGCCGCTCGATGCATCCGAGGAGGGTGGGGGTATCCAGTGTCTGTGGCGCCTGCTGGGCCTTCTGCTGGCGGAGAAGTGCAGCCCGGCTGACTGCAGTGGCGCATCCGAGGGGTCGCTATGCAACGCGTGATCGAGGCTACGTCGATCTCGCGCGTCAGCCGTGCCCTTCGGGCCCGCGCCGCCGAGTCGTGGGATGGCCACTTCCATGTTGGCGATGCAGTGGAGACCCATGGGCCCCCGAGTGCGAGGGGCGCGTCGGGCTGGGCTGGCCCCGGGGCGGTCATTGCAGTCGACTGGCTCGAGGCGAGGTGGCGGTCAATTGCCGCCGAGCCGAGGTGGCGCGCAGACTGTGAGACGTCCGGGCTTTCATCGGTGCTGTCTTTGACGACGTGGGCACTGTCATGGCGCGAGCAGGCTTGACGTGGGACCGCGTGGAGGACTACCTGGTGCGCGTCGCGCTGGGCTCGGGGCCAGGATCCTTGGCCGCCTGGAGGCGATGGGCGTGCAGGTCACCGAGCAGGCCCAGCGGCGCTCAGACATCTTCGATGCCCTGCGCCATCTGTCCCACAGATGCTTTCAGCTACGCGGCCGGAAATCTGCGGGCAATTGGCCGGGTTGCGCCCGCTGTTTGGCTATCTGGCGCCCTCGGAACCCGAGCGACGTCCAGCAGGGCCGCGTCGCCGGGGTCAAGTTCGACGGCCATCAGTTTGTCGGCGAGCGTTGGCAGGGTGCTCGCGCCATTCACTTGGGTGACGAGCCACTACTGATGGCAGACGCTGGATAGGGCCTCGACGTTCTCGAGGACGCCGCCAGCGCCGCCGAGGGTGGTCCAGCGTTGTCGCTGTCGGCTATGCCCGAGGAGACCGACAGCGATTTCTCCGGCCGCGTCCAAGAGCTAATGTTGGCAGCTTGGCGTGAAGTCGACGGGGCAGAAGACCTGGCTGAGGAGCTCGAGGAGCTGGAGAGCGCCGACAGCTAGCATGATGCCGGCGCTGCTCTCGAGCACGCCGCGGCCAGCCATGGCCGCTGGCCCTGCGAGGGGCCCCGGCGCCTCGCGCCTGCGTCGGAGCATCCGCGCGCGGTGCCACTCATGCTTGCGCGGGGCCTCCTTGGACGATTGCGCCGCCCTAGAGGATGACGACGACGGAAGGAGGCATGTGGAGCTGTATCTTGATTCAGGGGTGCGTGAAGCATTCTTGTGCTTCAACGAGGCAGCGCGCCGCGACTGCGTCGCCAGCGCTCCGCGGACATCTGCTAAATCAAAATGCCGCCGTCGAGACCGCGGCCGCGAAGCGCGACGCCGGCCATCTGTCCAACGTGGAAGTGTCGAGGTTGTCTGAGGAGGTCGGCGCGCGCGCCCTCGAAGAGCGCGCCGTCTGGGTCGAGCGCAATCTTTCAAGGGGCGACCGCTCAAGGGCGTTCGAAAGGCGAAGGGCTCCAGATGTAACTTCAAGTGGGAACGCCAAAATGGATCAGACGGCAAGAGTGTCCGGATCATCTGGCGCCGCGTGGCGTTGAGGGGCATCCGCGACGTGGGCGCCAGAGTCCTGGAAACGTTCGCTGCGGCAGCGAAGCGGGCGTCGCAGCGCATGCTGTCCTAGGGAGCGGCCCGTCGCCCAGACTGGGTGCGCGTCGCTGTGGTCGTCGAGGGGTCGTTCCTGCAGGGCGTGACGAGGAGGAGGTGGGGGAGGAGGAGGAGGAGGAGGAGGAGGAGGAGGAGGAGGAGGAGGAGGAGGAGGAGGAGGAGGAGGAGGAGGAGGAGGAGGAGGAGGAGGAGGAGGAGGAGGAGGAGGAGGAGGGGCAGGACCAGTGTAAGTCCAAGAGTCATCAACGATGTGGGAATCAACCATCCCTCCAAACTCCCTCTTCGTAGGCCCCATACAAGGGTTCATTTCCACTGAGGGAACTGCCTCGTTGGGAACAACTGTTCGAAGACCTTGAAGCATGCCAAAACACCAGTCTCGTGACTCCAACGCGACGGATCAATCTACCTATTGCGTTTTGACGATAATGAGTCGTGCCAGGACCAGTCTTGGGACTTCAACACTGCGAGTCAACGTAACTGTTGCGCCCTCACAATCCTGAGTCCTTCCAAAAACAATTTTTGTACGTTGACCAATGGAATCCGGGAAACTGGTGAAAGTTCTACGACGAATGTGCGCGGCGCAAAGACGAGAACCACATTTTGAAAACCAGTCTCCGTAAAACTCTTGCGATTCAAAGAAGAAGGTGCGCGGCGCCACGACGAAAACCACATTTTGACCACTTTCCTCCCTCAGTCCGTGAAGCTCTCGAAATTGTCATATCGGATGCTTGCGGCGCTAAGGCTACAGTCTGAAAACCACCCGCCCTCGATGTGTGAAACTGTTGCCGATGTTCAGGCTGCAGGGCCACAAATGGTGAGGAAGTCTCAGGCGAAACGCCGGGTCCGCCCTTTCGACCGGCCTCGGGGTGCGACAGGGAGTGATGTATAAGGAAAGGGAATGGAGGAGATAGGCCATAGGATATAGGGAGGAAAAGGAGGAGAAGGAGGAGGAGGATGAGGAGAGGAGAGAGGAGAGAGGAGAGAGGAGAGAGGAGAGAGGAGAGAGAGGAGAGAGGAGACAGGAGAGAGGATATAGAGGAGACAGGAGAGAGGCGAGAGGCGAGAGGAGAGAGGAAAGAGGAGAGAGGAAGAGAGAGAGGAGAGGGGAGACGAGATAGGGAGAGAGGGTAGAGGAGAGAGGAGAGGAAGAGGAGAGGAGGAGAGGAAAGAGGAGATAGGAGAGAGGAGGAGGAGGGAGGAGAGAGAGGAGAGGAGGGAGGTGGGAGGTGGGAGGAGGGAGGAGGAGGGAGGAGGAGAGAGGAGGAGGGGGGGAGGCGGGAGGAGGGAGGAGGGAGGAGGGAGGAAGGAGGAGGGAGGAGGGAGGAGGAGGAGGGAGGAGGGAGGGAGGGAGGGAGGAGGGAGAGGAGGCGGGAGGAGGGAGGAGGGAGGAGGGAGGAGGAGGAGGGGAGGGAGGGAGGGAGGGAGGGAGGGAGGGAGCGAGGGAGCGAGGAAGCGAGGGAACGCGGGAACGAGGGAGGGGAGGGAGGGAGGGAGGGAGGAGGAGGGAGGGAGGAGGGAGGGAGGGAGGGGAGGAGGAGGAGGAGGAGGAGGAGGAGGAGGAGGAGGAGGAGGAGGCGGAGGAGGAGGAGGAGGAGGGAAGAGAGCAGGAGGAGGAGGAGGAGGAGGAGGAGGAGGAGGAGGAGGAGGAGGAGGAGGAGGAGGAGGAGGAGGAGAGGAGGGAGGGAGGAGGGAGGAGGGAGGAGGGAGGAGGGAGGAGGGAGGAGGGAGGAGGGAGGAGGAGATTGGAGGGGGGGCCTCCTCCAGCAATGGAGCCGCCCGCTTGAAGCGGCCAGGACGCCCTGCTCGGCGCGCACGACCCCGACCCGCGGGAGCCCCCCGAGGAGCAGCCGGACCCTGCTGGTGAGGACCCGCGCGCGCCGGGCTGTGTCTGCGCAGGGGTTGCAAAGGGGGATAGGGTCGGCGTCATCCCAGCATACTGCTACTATGTGCGCGTCGGCCCCCCCAGGAGCGACACGCGCACCGAGAGATCTTATCGTATGTGCGGCGTGACGGGCGCTTTTTGGCCGCACCGCTCGGGAACGATATGCTACAAGATGGTCATATGATATGTTCGGGTCGGACGCGCGCCTACCAAGGAGGATGTATAGTATTAGTATGTCTCTATGCGTCCCATAGGGGGTCATCAGTGGATGCCAGGGTGGGTGAGATCTAGCCTAATCTAGCTTACTTGTGGTGTTCAAAGCCCAGACAGCGGTGCGCCAGAACGGCTCTCCAACACCTTTCGAAGAGCTCCGGAAGCTTTCGGAAGGAGCTTCCGAAGGAGATTCTGAAAAGTTTGGGAAGCTTTGCGACACACGTATTGGGACACAGATAGTACAGGCCTTCCGGGACCCGCTGCCAGCTCGCCGGAGCCGCTGCGAGGTTCGTTGACCGACGTCGGAACGAGCTCTGGGGCTACCATTGCCTCCTGGCTTCCAAGCTTAAGCCCTCTCAGCTTTCGGAGAGCTATTCCAGAAAAAGTGGGTTACGAATGCATCACGTGTCTTAGGGGGTTAACGATCAGGGGATTCCCTGCGAAGACACTTCGGGCATTTGTAACCAACTTGTTAGCTATGTTAGAGGCAGATCTGACCCATCTCGGCGTCCACTGATGACCCTCTGACCCCTTAGCAACCCTTGCGCCGATCCCAGTGGGATAAGGGTAAGCTCTTGGCGCTTCGCGTATCCCGACCAGCTTCGGCCAGGCGTGTCCCCTGTTGGTCCGCAGCCCAGACCTCTGGCGCCCTGTGGCGAACAGGTCCAATTCACATACCTGGTGATTCAGCTCCCATGGTACTCGCACGTTTGCAGCTTCCTGGCAGCCCAAGCAGCTTGCAGTCCCCACCCTCGGCGCTGCAGCACAGCCCCGGCGCAGCCGCTTCCCCCGGCGGTAGGTTCTGCTTAGCTCCGCGCGCGCGCCGGCAATTAGTTCCGCTCGTAGCCCGAGCTGACTCGACTCGCCGCTGGCGCCTTCGCCAGCGGTTGCGACAAAAAACTATCCCGACCATCCCATCCAGAAGCGATCGCCAGGCGAGTTGCTTTGATCAATTCATTGTAGAAGCATGCGGTGGAACAGCCGACTTGGAAACGTGTCGTGGGCGCAGACACGGCGGGAACATGTGCCGAAACGTCAGTCAAATGATTTGTGCCTTTTGGGGCCCTCTTGGGGGTCCTCTTGTAGCGCTCTTGAGGCCTCTTGGGTGCCTCTTGGATCGTCTTGGGGCCAGCCCTCGGAAATGGAAGAACCTCCCTCCTACCTTTCCCCGGTGGAGCCCCCCCCTGCACCGCCCCCCCCCTGAGCAGAGCCGAAGCTCAGGCTGTAGCTTCTTGAAACCTACACGCCGGTGCAGGTCACAAAAAGGGTACACCTCGCGCCCCAGAGGCTCCCGCCAGGAGCAGCGGATCGTTTTTTTGGTTGGTTATGGAACGGTTGTGGTTAGCCGTGGGGCACGAGGAGCGCCAGAGGAATAACAAGGGAAAGATCTAAGTAACTCCTCCTCCTCCTCCGCCCCCCCCTCCTCCTCCTCCTCCTTCTCCTCCTCCGGTTCCTCCTCCTCCTTCTCCTCCTCCTCCTCCTCTGCCCCTTCCGAACCCGAGCTGTTCTTTCTTTCGGCGCCTTGACTGTGGTCCAAGATGGCTTCAGGAGCGTCGAGTCGGCTCGCCAGAAGCCCCGCGAGGGCCCCATGAGGACGCTCTGGAGGCCCTCTCGGAGGCCTCCAGGAGGTCCCATGGTGCGTTTCAGTGATTTATATCCTCTCGTGCCCTTTCACATCGAAGGGCGTCCGCGACGGGCCACTTAGGCCTCCAAGGTCGGCCCTGACTAAGGACCTCCGAGGCTCCACGGTGGGCCCAACAGTCTGGACCAATAGAGCCTCTGAAGAATCTTCCAAGACGGCCCTGGCGGGTTCAGTACGCCTCCAGTACGGCCGAGGCGCCAGGATGGCTGAAGGTGACTCCAACAGCGTCGACAGGCTCGCTTCCTTCTGCGCGAGAGCCCCTGGAGGACGTTCCAGAGGCACCCGACAGGAAAAAGCTCAAGACTGATTTGCTAGTTTCTGGAGGATGTGCGCTTTTGTGCCCTGCTGGCCAGAGCAGCGTCCACGATGGCCTCAGAGGCCTCCAAGATCGCCCTAAGGTATCCAAAAAGAGCTCGGGGAAGGGGCGGCCAGGGCTAGTGAGAGGAGGCGGAGGGGGAAGAGAGTCAAGGGGGAGGCGGAGAATGGAAGAAGGGGAGAAGCCCCCAGGGAGCCCGCGGTGGCACTTGGGGGGCACGCAGCTTCCCCCAAGGATGCTCTAAAGCGCCTGGATGAGATGCCCCACGAGAGCTCCCCTAATTCCCCCCAGGCTGCCCACAAGGTTCCTACGGTGCTCTCGCGCTTCCTTGTCAGAACCTCGACTTTTCCAACCCGTGCCGATGGAAACAGGTGCCCGCTTATGTGCGCATGCCTTTGAATGTTCGTGCGCGTCCCTGTGGGTATCTGCACCGCCACAGTCGCTTGTGTGTGTGTGTGTTAGTGGTGGGAGCCCGTCTTGGATCTCCCATGGTTTTTAGGCGTTTGCATTATGCACGCGCACACGCGGGTCTGCTGTGGTGAGTACCAAGGGGCAGTTTTTATTCCCTGGCGATAACGGGCGTGAGCCTTGAGACGGGGGTCAGTGCAAACGTGGGTCAGCCAGGGCGCCAGATCTTGCAGGATCGATCCTGCAGGGCCAGGGGCGCATCGACCCTGGTCTGGGTGCAGGATCCTGCAGGATCCTACAGGGTCTTGCAGGATCTTGCAAGGCCTGACTGACCCAGGTCTGGATTGACCTGGGTCAGAAGATCCTCTTCCTCCTCCTCCTCCTCCTCCTTCTCCTCCTCCTCCTCTTCCTCCTCCTCCTCCTTCTCCTCCTCTCCTCCTCGTCCTCCTCCTCTTCCTCCCCCCCTCCTCTTCCTCCTCCTCCTCCTCCTCCTCCTCCTCCTCCTCCTCTTTCCTCCTCCTCCTCCTGCTCCTCCTCCTCCTCCTCCTCCTCCGCCCCCCTCCTCTCCCTCTCCTCCTCCTCCTCCTCCTCCCTCCTCCTTCTCCTCCTCCTCCTCCTCCTTCCTCCTCCTCCTCCTCCTCCTCCCCCGCCTCCTCCTCCTCCTCCTCCTCTTGCTCCTCCTCCTCTTCTTTCTCCTTCTCGGACTGTTTTGGAGCTCTCTTTGGATCGTCTTGCTGTGATTCGGAAGCTAGAGCATGTACATTACCTGTGGAGGGCTGTCCCTCAATCCCAAGACTTTTTTGGAGGGTTGGGACGACGTCGGGGTGGGGTCGTGCATTCTCGTTCCCCCGTTTTCACAGGGGAAACAACAAACAATGCACAGTATACGCCAGGATCCCGTATACAGCAGGATCCGCTTTCCAGTGCAAAGTTCAGTGTATCTGTCGGTTCATAGTTCCTTATGCAGGGCCAGAAAAAGCGTCGGTGTATGGAGTTCGGTTCCCTAGTGATGTGCGCAGGGGGTGCTAAGCGGATATGGGTGTAATCAGTAGATGCCAAGGTGGGTGATACGTGCCACAGGTGGCTTAGGGGTGCTAGATAGCTCCTCTAAGGGAGCGGAGCCCACTTAGCCTGGATCGCTAACCCCCCTAAGCCACTTGGTGTATTTGAGCCCGCTCATAAGCTAGGTTGGGCCAGACATAACCCACCCTGGCACCCACCGATAACCCCCCTATGCCCTCAGCCCCCCCGCGCCGACCCCAGTAGGCCGTCTTCCAGGACATCCGGGCGGCCCTTTTGTCGTCACTCCGTGGCCCCAGAGGCGGGTTTTGTACTCTGGGGCCGTCGGAGAGCTTCTGGGGGTGGAGAGCGGGCCCTGGGGAGGGGTCGAGAGGTCCAGGGTTCCAGGCATCGAACACGTCGAAGCGCCGGATGCCTGGGCGGGGGGCTCCTGGGGCACCCGCGGGGCTCTGTGAACTTTGCCATGGGGACGAGGCAGTGGTCAGTCCGGCTCAAGCGATTCGCGACTCGCGCCGATCTGGTCATTTGCGGTATTGCGCTTGCCGAGCTCAGCTAGTCCCCCTGGTCGCATGGCCGTCGCCACCGCACAGGTGATTCGCGGGCTCCTCCCACACGTACCTGTCGGCGTCGAGGGGATCCCTGGCAATGAAGCCCGTGGCTTGCGAGGACCTACGCCTCTCCCATCGGTGGCCAGCGGAGCGAGGCGCCGCGTCGGCGCTGCGTCCTGCGCCACCTCCGCTTTTCTTGCAGTCTTCGGCGTGCGCCGCAGTGCTCGAGCTGCCCATCGCCGTCGCGTCTGCTCCTCGGCGCGACCCCAGCCCGGGAGAGGGGGCTCCGTGGCCAAGCTTCGCGGCGTGTCCAGCGAAATGTGCGGTGGATGTTTTGTGGAGGCCTCCACTGTCTTGTTGATCGATGGGGACAACGTTGGCCCACAAGAAGTGAAGGAGGCTGTCTCCGCGATCAGCATGAAAGGAACGCTTGTTGGGGGAGTTCTATTCCATGCGCCAGGGGTCTCCTACAAACCTGCTTTCCTGTCATTTCTGGAGGACAACCACATTCGTTGTCAGACGGTCGTGCGCAATGCAGGGTTCGCCCAGGACCCTAATGATTTCGCCATCTGGGTAGAGGCAAGGCGGTTGGCAAAGTCAGAAGTGCAGTGCATCGCTCTTCTCGTGAGAGATCAGGACTTTATTCCTTTAGCTATGAAGTTGATCCAAGAGGGTAAAGAAGCAACCGCTGTTCTTAGCGCACCCAGATCGTCTTTTCTTACCAGGAAGTTTGTCCATGCTGGGGTGCCAGTATTACTTCTTCGAGGAGAGGACACGGTGCGCAATTATGGGATCAAAGCATATCTGCTGCCAGACGGCTCTGGCGGAGTCGACGTCCTCTCTTCCCCTGATCCCGAACCTCCAGACATTGACTTGGCTACGTACGAGGCAATTACGAGACATCTCAGAGCGCTTGGATATTTGAGTGCCACGTCATCCCTGATCAGCCCTCGAGAGCTTGTACCAGCAATTGCCAAGTTCTGGTACACATGCAACATGGACAAGTTGGTAGTGTTCCCATACACGTTCGCACTGCGTAGCATGTCGAATCTCTTGCGCACCAGGCCAAACGAGTTCGAGCATGCTCGAGACCGCGACCTGGCCTTCGTGTTACCACTGAAAAACTCGTCCCACAAGCGCTATGGCTCCATTCCGGCTGGCAGAATCGCCAAAGGGGGCGGCCCTGCCATGATGGAGGACACTCCTGACCTAGCATGTCGTTTTTTGCGCAGATTTGGCTACTTGGATTCCGATTTGAACTGCGACGTCGACGAAGCCGCCCTTGTGTGCGGCCAGATGACACGTAATAAACGACGCTTAGTTAAGCTTGGGCTTTTCAGTGCAGACAAGTCCCCTGGCTTGGGCGAAATACGGACTGCGCTGTTGAGCGACGCAGACGGCGCGACTTGGCAGCTCCCTCCAGAGGGGGGCCTTCTGGTCATCAAGCATCTGGTGTTACACAAGTTCCTGAATTCCATTGGTGCGTCCAAGGAGGAGGTGTACTATGCTTTGAGGAGAGCTTGTAAAGCCCACGGGCTTTGCACAATGAAGACGTATAATGGGTATCTGTGGCTCTTCATGAGGGAAGTTCTCCATCGCAAGGACCCCAGTCGCAGAGCGTGATCATTCTGCCCTGCCGGAACTCGAGTTCCCGAGATCAAACATTATTGTAATTTGGCGTGGTGGGCCACGAGGGTGGCGCTTTGCGGCCCTGGCGCTGGCTACGCGTATTGCGATGATGGAGGCTCTGGTGTGCTTTCGTGCGCGAGTTGTCTTTCTGCTCGCACGCCTCGTCGAAATAGGCGATGCCGTGCGTGTGGCTACCACAGCCAGAGCTGCTTCAGCTTTGCACGCTCTCGATCTCGTTCGTCGCTTCGTGGCCATCTGCTTCTTTCATTCTCTCTTTCTTTCTTTTTCTTTATCTCTCTCTCTCTCTCCCCCTCTTTCCCTCAAAAAAATGGTGCGATCCCCGGGAGGGGCACTTTCAAATGACACAAAAACACAGAAAGTGCCCCGGAGGGGGGGATCACCAATAATCATACGTTATGCACGAGGATTCAAGCTGCTCGCGGAGATCATCTGCCGCTGGGTTGTGGTGTGGCGGGCCGCGAGGGTGGCGCTCTCTGCGGCCCCGGTGCTGGCCACGCTGCGCATCCGGTCGCCGCGACACTAGCCTGCCGTAGTACGCGCACGTAGCGCAGGGGAATGGTGCAGCGCCCAGACCCGCAGGGACCTCCCGGTCGCCTGGGGATGGCCGCTGGTCGTAGAAGTTGTCCGTTCTCACGAATCCATGAGCCGTTCGTAGAAACAAGGGCGAGCCGCTTCTGTGATGCAAGAGGGTGGTTCGCATGATGCAAGGAAGTTGTTCTTGTGACAGCTGTTCTTAGGACAGCGCGAATTGTTCTTGTGATACGTTTGGGCATCCCTGTGACAGAGAATTGGGCCCCCCCGCCTTCCCCGTGACAGGGAATTGGGCCCCCCCCCCTGTGACGGGGAATTGGGACCCCCCCTTTGACAGCCCGCCTGTGACAGGGAATTGGTCCTCCCCTTCGCGACAGGGAATTCGGTCCCCCCTGTGTCAAGGACTTGGGCACCCTGTGTCACAGGGAATTGGGCCCCCCTGTGACAGAGAATTGGGCCCCCCCTCTGTGACCCCTCCCCCCTCTGTGACAGAGCATTGAGCTCCCTGTCATGATGCCAGGCCGCCGAGGGCCGTCCAGCCCGCGCAGTTGCGCCAATGACCATCTTGTCGCACATGGGTTTCTGGGGCAGGTTGCGTGGTCCTGGGCTGTGTTGGAGTGGGCTTCGGGCCCTCTTTGGCCTTCCACGGGCTCCCTGGCCTCCTCGACGTTGCCAGGCCGCCGAGGGCCGTCCAGCCCGCGCACTTGCGCCAATGACCATCTTGGCGCACATGGGTTTCTGGGGCAGGTTGCGTGGTCCTGGGCTGTGTTGGAGTGGGCTTCGGGCCCTCTTTGGCCCTTCACGGGCTCCCTGGAGCTCCTTCTCGATGCTGCCAGGCCGCCGAGGGCCGTCCAGCCCGCTCAGTTGCGCCAATGACAATCTTGGCGCACATTGGGTTCTGGGGCAGGTTGCGTGATCCTGGGCCGCATTGGAGTGGGCTTCGGGCCCTCTTTGGCCCTCAATGGGCTCCCTGGAGCTCCTCCTCGATGTTGCCAGGCCGCCGAGGGCCGTCCAGCCCGCGCAGCTGCGCCGATGAAAACCTTGGCGCGCATGAGTTTCTGGGGCAGGTTGCGGGGTCCTTGGAGTGGGCTTCGGGCCCTCTTTGGCCTTCCGCGGGCTCCCTGGAGCTCCTCCTCGATGTTGCCAGGCCGCCGAGGGCCGTCCAGCCCGCGCAGCTGCGCCAATGCCCATCTTGGCGCACATGGGGTTCTGGGGCAGGTTGCTTGGTCTTGGGCCGCCTTGGAGTGGGCTTCGGGCCATATTCCGCCCTCCGCGGGCTCCCTGAAGCTCGTCCTCAATGTTGCCAGGCCGCCGAGGGCCGTCCAGCCCGCGCAGTTGCGCCAATGACCATCTTGGCGCACATTGGTTTCTGGGGCAGGTTGCGGGGTCCTTGGAGTGGGCTTCGGGCCATATTTGGCCCTCCGCGGGCTCCCTGGAGCTCGTCCTCGATGTTGCCAGGCCGCCGAGGGCCGTCCATCCCGCGCAGTTGCGCCAATGACCACCTTGGCGTACATTGGTTTCTGGGGCAGGTTGCGGGGTCCTGGGCCGTGTTGGCGAAGGGTTCGGGCCATATTTGGCCCTCCACGGGCTCCCAGGAGCTCCTCGTGATGCCAGGCCGCCGAGGGCCGTCCAGCCCGCGCAGTTGCGCCAATGAGAATCTTGGCGCACATGGGGTTCTCGGGCAGGTTGCGGGGTCCTTGGAGTGGGCTTCGGGCTCTTTCTGCGCCGCTGAGGGCCGTCCAGCCCGCGCAGTTGCGCCAATGACGATCTTGGCGCACATGGGTTTCTGGGGCAGGTTGCGTGGTCCTGGGCCGTGTTGGAGTGGGCTTCGGGCCCTCTTTGGCCCTTCACGGGCTCCCTGGAGCTCCTCCTCGATGATGCCAGGCCGCCGAGGGCTGTCCAGCCCGCGCAGCTGCGCCAATGACCACCTTGTCGCACATGGGTTTCTGTGGCAGGTTGCGGGGTCCTGGACCGCCCTGGAGTGGGCTTCAGGCCCTCTTTGGCCCTTCACGGGCTCCCTGAAGCTCTTCCTCGATGTTGCCAGGCCGCCGAGGGCCGTCCAGCCCGCGCAGCTGCGCCAATGACCACCTTGGCGCACATTGGGTTCTGGGGCAGGTTAAGGGGTCCTGGGCCGCCTTGGAGTGGGCTTCGGCCAATATTTGGCCCTCCGCGGGCTCCCTGGAGCTCGTTCTCAATGTTGCCAGGCCGCCGAGGGCCGTCCATCCAGCGCATTTGCGCCAATGACAATCTTGGCGCACATGGGGTTCTGGGGCAGGTTGCGTGGTCCTGGGCAGTGTTGGAGCGGGCTTCGGGCCATCTTTGGCCCTCCACAGGCTCCCTGGAGCTCCTCCTCATGATGCCAGGCCGCCGAGGGCCGTCCAGCCCGCGCAGCTGCGCCAATGACAATCTTGGCGCACATGGGTTTCTGTGGCAGGTCGCAGGGTCCTTGGCCGCCTTGGAGTGGGCTTCGGGCCCTCTTTGGCCCTTCACGGGCTCCCTGGAGCTCCACGAGCAGCGCGGCGACCGAGGAAGCTGTCGCCGACGCCTTGGAGCTTCCCCATGCCATGTAGAGATGCATGAAGACATTCTGGGGCGGTGCGAGGTTGTGAAAATAGCCGCGCGTCGCACATCGCGCGGCGCGTCGCACATCGCGCGCCGCGTGGCGTGAAGTTGGGTGGCCCAGGTGGGGCAAGGGGCCCCGCGAGATCTTCTTTCTTGCGCACATTTCTGTTACCCCGCCCGCCCCTCATCCTCGCGGCCATCTCTTCCTGACCGCCTCCAGCTCGTCGTCGTCCTCCTCCTCGTCCTCCTCCTCCTCCTCCTCCTCCTCCTCCTCCTCCTCCTCTTCCTCCCCCTCCTCTTCATCTTCCTCCCTTGGAGGTCCGCGAGCGTGGGGCCCGCCTGCATGGTTGTATGCCCCGTCGGGGGCCTCCGCAGGCTCTAGGGCCGCAGGACTCTAGTTCTTCTGCCGTAGCGCCTGCGGTTGCGCGTTGGGGCTGGCGGGGGGTCCGCGGTGGCCCAGCACTGGTGCCCGCGGGCAGGAAGGTGGTCGAGTTTCTGGGCTCGATGAGGTTTGTTGTCTTTTTCTTTCTTTGGGTGCCGTGTTCGGCGGCCCCGACCGACAGAATCTGATCTGGGGTGGAAAATTGCAGCAGATGGACCCCGGGAAGGGTCCAGGGATGGCCTCTCAGCCCGTTTTGCCCGTATCCCTCGTTTTGGCCGGTTTTCTTGGGGCATGCAGCTCAGACCCTGGTCACCAGGGTCTGAGCTGGATGCCGGGTCGGTCAGGCCCGAGGAGTGCCGCAGGAACCTGGGGTCCAGAGATTTGGTCGCGATCTTTGCAGTGTCACACGGTTCCGCGACGTGGGATTTCCGGGAGGGCCGCGGGGGGTGATGTGCTTGTGTCTGCTCGCGCAGTCTTGGCTTCCGGGAGGAGGCGCCCCCCAGAGTCCGCCCTTCGGCCGCCCGGCCCCTGCAACACGTACCTAGCCTCCCGAAGTGTCGGCTCAGAGTGCGGAGGCGCCAGGGGAAAATCGAGCACGTCCCTTTACAGGAGGAAAATTCGAAAATAGTTGCAGATTCTCTGAGGGCGTGCAAACCAGTGCAAAGGCCAGTGCAAACCAGCCAGCCGCGGGCGCCGTTGTCCCTGTCGAAAGGAGCGCGGGTGGGTCGCCCCGCGGAAGGCGCCAGCGTGGGTGAAGCACTGTGGCGGGTGGGTCGCGACGCGGGTGGGTCGCTGCGTGGATGGGGTCCCAGGGGAGTCGCGGGTGGGGCGGCCGTGTGTGGGTCGCGGCGCGGCTCGGGGGGGGGGGACGACAACAACACACGCAAAAACAACATGCATCGCAAATTCCCACCAGGGACAGTGTAAGACCGTTCGGCCCCCCTCCACTCTGGTCTACAAGTGACTCTTGCGGTTTATTAAGTTCGTTTGCTCCGTGGTCCAAACAAGAAGCCGACGGACGCTATGTATGTACAAGCAGAGAGGTTTTTGTGCAGTGGCGAGGTGTGCGGAGGAGGACGGGGAAGGAGGATGAGGATGAGGATGAGGGTGAGGGTGAGGGTGAGGATGAGGGTGAGGGTGAGGGTGAGGATGAGGAGGAGGAGGAGGAGGAGGAGGAGGAGGAGGAGGAGAAACGAAGAGAAACGACTCGGATCCAGCCAGACATGTCGTCCGCGCTGGAGCGAGAGCGCCAGTCTCAACGAGGGGAGCACAGCACCAATGTCAACGAACCAGTGGGAACACAGTTTCTGAAAACGACACATAGCAGCTGAGGCCCTGGGTGTGAACGAACGGTGCCGGAGAGACGTGTGGGGGGGGGTTGTCACCGCTGCACATTGGCAGGGGAGACAGGAGAGTGCGGCACGGTAGGGTGCGGCGGTGACTCAAGCGCGAGCGTTGAAGGTTGAAAGCCGTTAGTGGCCTGGATTCGGCCGACACCGACCGATTCGCGCTATCAGAGCACGCGGTGTTAGAAACCAACGCGCAAGTCGCCACGACACTAGGCTGCCGTAGTACGCACACGCAGCGCAGGGGAAGTGTGAGGCGCCCAGACCCGTCGGGACCTCCCGGTCGCCTGGGGATGGCCGCTGGACCGCTCCCGGCTCGAGCTCTCGCGCCTCGCCTTCGCGAGCCGCCTCCTGCTGCCCGCGGCCGGCCCTCGCGGATGCTTTCGGCGGGAGGGGAGCACACGGTCCTGCTTCGGAGCGATGGCTCCGCCGTGGCCTGCGGCCAGAATGTTCACGGCCAGAGCGCCCTCCCTGCGCTGCCCGCGGGCTTGACCTACACGCAGGTTGCCGCTGGAGCGGGTCACACGGTCCTGCTCCGGACCGATGGCTCTGCCGTGGCCTGCGGCCAGAATGGTGAGGGCGTCTGTGCTCTCCCTGCGCTGCCCGCGGGCCTGACCTACACACAGGTCGCCGCTGGAGACGATCACACGGTCCTGCTTCGGAGCGATGGCTCCGCCGTGGCCTGCGGCCAGAATTGTGACGGCCAGTGCGCCCTCCCTGCGCTGCCCGCGGGCTTTACCTACACGCAGGTCGCCGCTGGAATGGGTCACACGGTCCTGCTCCGGACCGATGGCTCTGCCGTGGCCTGCGGCCGAGATGATGAGGGCCAGTGCGCCCTGCCGGCGCTGCCCGCGGGCCTGACCTGCACGCAGGTCGCCGCTGGAGGGTGGCACACGGTCGTGCTCCGGAGCGATGGCTCCGCCGTGGCCTGCGGCCAGAATGGTGACGGCCAGTGCGCCCTCCCTGCGCTGCCCGCGGGCTTGACCTACACGCAGGTCGCCGCTGGTCTGATGCACACGGTCCTGCTCCGGAGCGATGGCTCCGCCGTGGCCTGCGGCCAGAATGATGAAGGCCAGTGCGCCCTCCCGGCGCTGCCCGCGCGCCTGACCTACACGCAGGTCGCCGCTGGAGAGACTCACTCGGTCCTGCTCCGGAGCGATGGCACCGCCGTGGCCTGCGGCTGGAATGGCGACGGCGAGTGCGCCCTCCCGGCGCTGCCCGCGGGCCTGACCTACACGGCCCACCTGTTGCCGGCGATGCTCCTCCAGGCGTCGCTGGACGGCGACACGATGCGCTTCATGACCTTCGGCGGGGCGGAGCGCTCCAGGTCCTGGGCTGGCCCCGCCGCCCGCCTCGCGGACATCTACGAGCAGCTGCTGGCCGACCACCGCGCGGGCAGGCTGGGGCCCGGAGCCTGGCGGGTGGACGCCGTCTTGCCTGGCGGCCGGCTGCTGAGCAGCGCGGCGGCCGAGGAAACTGTCGCCGAGGCCTTGCAGCTTCCCCGTGCCGTGTAGCGGTGCAGAAAGACATTCCGGGGCGGCGCGAGGTTGCGAAGATAGCCGCGCGTCGCACATCGCGCGGCGCGGGGCGTGAAGCCGGGTGGCCCAGGCGGGGCACGGAGCCCCGCGAGATCTTCTTTCTTGCGCGCATGGCTGTCACCTCGCCTGCCCCTCATCCTCACGGCCTTCTCTTCCTAACCCCCTCCAGCTCCTCGTCCTCGTCCTCCTCGTCCTCGTCCTCCTCCTCCTCCTCCTCCTCGTCCTCCTCCTCCTCCTCCTCCTCCTCCTCCTGCTCCTCCTCCTCCTCCTCCTCCTCCTCTTCCTCCTCCTCCTCGGCTTCCTCCCTTGGAGGTCCGTGCGCGAGGGGCCCCCGTGAGGCCCACGCGCGAGGCCTTCGCAGGCTCAGGACTCCAGTTCTTCCGTCGTGGCGCCTGCGGTTGCGCCAGTGGGGCTGGCGGGGGGTCCGCGGTGGCCTGGCACTGGTTCCGGCGGGCAGGGAGGGGGGTGGGGGGAGGGGGGTGTCGGGGGCGGAAAAGAGGGGGATGATGACTAGGGTCGGGAGCCTCGAGACGGGGGTCAATGCAAACGGGGGTCAGCCAGGGCGCCAGATCCTGCAGGATCCTGCGAAGACCCCCTCTGGCTGACCCGGGTTAGGGAGCCGCTCGTGGCCGCGAGGCGGCCGCGCGTATTGGCTGACCCGGGTCTGCGAAGACCTGCGGTGCAGTTTTTTTTTTCTTGCATTGCAGTTTTTGGTTTCCTGCTGACCCGGGTCTGGATTGACCCGGGTCAGAAGATCCCCGATAGGGGGGGGGGGATATCATGGCGTGGGCCATGATAGTTCCCCAGACTTCATGGCGCCTCTTCTTATTTCACTACGTTCCTGGCCCCCCCGCTGGGCCGCGCACATGCCGCCGGTCATGATTTGCACCCCCCCCCTCTTGGACCCCCCCCCCCCTCTTGGCCGCTCCCGAGGGTGGGGGAGGCTAGAGGTTTTCTGGGCTCGATGAGGTTTGTTGTCTTTTTCTGTCTTTGGGTGCCATGCTCGGGGGCCCCGGCGGACAAGAACGGACCTGGGGTGAAAACCTCCACCAGACGGACCCCTGGAGGGGTCCAGGGAGTAGACTTTCAGCGCATTTGCATCCCTCGTCTTGGCCGGTTTTCTTGGGGCACCCAGCTCAGACCCTGGTGGGCCGTCGCGGCTCGGCCAGGCCCGAGGAGTGCCGCAGGAACCTGGGTCCAGAGATTTTGTCGCGATCTTTGCAGTATTGCACGGTTCCGCGACGTGGGATTTCCGGGAGGGCCGGGGGGGTGATGTGCTTGTGTCTGTTCGTGCAGTCTTGGCTTCCGGGAGGAGGCGCCCCCGGAGGCCGCCCTTTGGCCACCCGGCCCCTGCAACGCGTACCTGGCCTCCCGAAGTTTGGGCTAAGAGTGAGGGGGCTCCAGGGTAAGTCGGGCGCGTCCCTCTACGGGAGGAATACGGGGCGTGAAAACGACCACAGCCACTGCTTTTCTTTTGTTGCCGCCTTCAGCCCGCAGAAACAAAGCAGTGGTTGTGGTCATTTTCGTTGAGCATGGCACCAGGGAAATGACTACAACCACTGCTTCTTTCTCGGCCGGCTGGAAGGCGGCGCAAACAAGAAGCAGTGGCTGTGGTCATTTTCCAGTCCCGCAAGGAATATGCGGGAATCGTGCAAACGAGTATGTGGACGATTCTTCGTGTTTTCGACTATTTTTGATTACTTGTCGGAGCTATTTCTTATTTTGCTCCCAGAATCCGCCTGCAGGAGGATATGCCCGACCTAATGCTAGGGCTGGGGCGTGCGCGAACGGCGCTTTCCAAGGCCAGTGCAAACCAGCCAGCCGCGGGCGCCGCTGTCTCTGTCGAAGGGAACGCGGGTGGGTCGCCCCGCCGAAGGCGCCGGCGTGGGTGAAGCACTGTGGCGGGTGTGTCGCGGCGCGGGTGGGTCGCGGCGTGGATGGGGTCCCAGGCGAGTCGTGGGCGGGGCCAGCCGCGTGTGGGTCGCGGTGCGGTTCGAGGGGTGAGGGCGACAACAACAACAACAACAACAGCACGAGCAACATGCACCGTGAATTCCCACCAGGGACAGTGTAAGACCGTTCGGCCCCCCTTCACTCTGGTCTAACAGTCAACTCCTGCGTTTCAGCAAGTTCGTTTGCTTCATGGTCCAAAAAAGAAGCGGACGGACTGCATGTATGTACAATCAGAAGGGCCTGTGTGTGGTGGCGAGGCGTGCGGAGGAGGATGGGGAAGGAGGAGGAGGAGAAGTAGGAGGAGGAGGAGAAGTAGTAGTAGTAGTAGTAGTAGTAGTAGTAGTAGTAGTAGTAGTAGTAGTAGTAGTAGTAGTAGTAGTAGTAGTAGTAGTAGTAGTCGTAGTAGTAGTAGTAGTAGTAGTAGTAGTAGTAGTAGTAGTAGTAGTAGTAGTAGTAGTAGTAGTAGTAGTAGTAGTAGTAGTCGTAGTAGTAGTAGTAGTAGTAGTAGTAGCAGCAGCAGCAGCAGCAGCAGCAGCAGTAGTAGTAGTAGTAGTAGTAGGAGGAGGAGGAGGAGGAGGAGGAGAAGGAGGAGGAGTAGGAGGAGGAGAAGAGACGAAGAGAAACGACTCGGATCCAGCTAGACATGTGGTCGGTTCGCGCTGGAGCGAGAGCGCCAGTCTCAACGACGGGACCACAGCACCGATATCAACGAACCTGGGGGAACACAGTTTCGAAAATGACACATAGCAGCTGAGGCCCTGGGTGTGAACGAACGGTGCTGGAGAGACGCGGGGGTCACCGCTGCACATTGGCAGGGGAGACAGGAGAGTACGGCACGGTAAGGTGCGGCGGTGACTCAAGCGCGAGCGTTGAAGGTTGAAAACCGCTAGTGGCCTGGATTCGGCCGACATCGACCGAAATGTTCACGGCCAGTGCGCCCTGCCGGCGCTGCCCGCGGGCCTGACCTACACGCCGGTTGCCGCTGGTCTGTGGCACGCGGTCTTGCTCTGGACCGATGGCTCCGCCGTGGCCCGCGGCTGGAATGTTCTAGGCCAGTGCGCCCTCCCGGCGCTGCCCGCGGGCCTGACCTGGACGCAGGTCGCCGTTGGAGGGATGCACTCGCTCCTGGTCCGGAGCGATGGCACCGCCGTGGCCTGCGGCCAGAATGATCAAGGCCAGTGCGCCCTCCCGGCGCTACCCGCGGACCTGACCTGCACGCAGGTCGCTGCTGGAGGGTGGCACACGGTCCTGCTCTGGATCGATGACTCCGCCGTGGCCTGCGGCCAGAATGCTCAAGGCCAGTGCGCCCTCCTGGCGCTGCCCGCGGGCCTGACCTACACGCCGGTCGCCGCTGGTCTGAGTCACGCCGTCCTGCTCCAGAGAGATGGCACCGCCGTGGCCTGCGGCCCGCTGGAATGACGACGGCGAGTGCGCCGTACCTGCGCTGCCCGCGGGCCTGACCTACACGGCCAGCCTGTTGCCAGCGATGCTCCTCTAGGCGTCGCTGGCCCACCTAACCCCCCGGCCCCGGTAGGCGATCCGGGACCTCCGCGTGGTAGCTTGCGTCCCACTGCTTTGGGCCAGTTGGCTCGCACCTGGAGTTGTCTGCCCAACGCTTCCCAGGAGGCGCCCGGGGAGAGCGAGAGCCCGTCGTCTCCTCGCAGGGTTTCCGAATTCCCCATCTCAGGCGGCGACGAGACTCGCATGCAGGTCGCAAGTCTGTCCATCCCGGACCCTGGCTGGAGCCTGGCATCCCGAAGACGGCCCTGTAGTGGCGCGGGGGCTCGCTCTCGAGCTTTAGCCGCCTCAGGGGCAACCGGCGCGCGATCCAGCCAGCCAGTGCGAGACACGTGGCGAGGTTGAAGATCCATGCTGCCGAGTCGGAGGCCTCGGCTCTGTGTTCCCTACGCTGAGCTGCGCAAGGATCCCCGCCAACGCTCGCAGAGCCGGACGGGCTTCGCGGACGCCCTCGTGCCAGGAGGCCTCGTCGAGCCACCGCGGAGGCACGCGGAGCGGGCCGATCCCTTGTGGTCGGGGAGGAATAGGGGCAACTTCTACAAGGAAGTGGTCGCCTATAGTTTGTAGTCCACGGAACCTCCCCGCCTGCAGGGCCCCCCCGTGCCGACAGCATGAGACTCTGGTGTGGACCGTGGCTGCCCTCGAGGTCGCCGGGCCGGGGTGGCCAAGGCGATGTCGACGCAGCGCGACTGCCTTGTCTTGCAGTGAGGTGTGTCGCCGGGGCGGATGCGGACGGACCGATGGCGAAGGCGGAGGGGGGCTTCCTGTGACTCTCCGAGGCACGCCACTGCATTTAGGTGGCGGAGATGCCACTTGTGGGCGAACTTGGACCGCGCTCGCGTCCTGGCTGGGCACGGGCCCCGATCTCTGCGGACTTTGTCCGATTGGAGGTTGGTGTCCCCCGTGATGGCGACTGGCGCTTCCTCGGTGGCGGACGGCTCACTGTGCAGGACGCAGAGGACCTCTTCGAGCCCTCGAAGTTCTGTGAACCACTCCACATCCCCGCCAGACTTCGGGGGAGGAGGGAGGTAGAGAGTGCAGACCGCACATGACGATCCCCCTGTGACTGGGAAGCGAACCCACTACCGCCGGGCTGTCCCCACGTCAAGAAATTCAACGTTGTGGAGGCGGTCGGCATTCCAGATTACCGCGCTGGCTGCACACGAGGGCCCCCCTTTGGCCGCGAGCTGAACCCTGGGGATGCGTGCGAGGCGGAAGCCAGGGGCCAGCCTGGCTCCTGGGAGCCCGACGAGCACGAGGTCCAGCCCACCGCCTAGAGAATGCCGACCCTACTGTCCGTGAAGACTCCCAAGGGGACCTTCTAGCCATCGGCCGACAACAGGCCCAAAGTATTCTCGGAGGTTGATAGACCTCCTACTCTGACACGTCGATTAGCGAATTGGTCGTTTTCGGTTCGCGAGAGGGCCTCGCGGCCGTCTTTTTTGCGGGTCCAGGTCCGCTGGTTCTGGTCATAGGCCGTTTTTTCTGAAGGGTGGCTGACGAAAGGGAGGCTTGTCCGCCGCCGATCTTCGGGGAGCCAGCCCCTGGCCTTGCCTGCGATGGCCGATCCTCCTCCCGCCCCAGTTCGATCGCACGGTGCTGAGCGAGGCTCCTCCACAGACCAGCCGAGTCTGGCTATCGGAGGGCATCGCAGAGTTCGTCCACGGGCTGGCATAGCGGCTTCAGGGAGGCAGCGCTGCTGCGACTTAGCCGCGTTCCCTCCGCCCTGAGCTCCTCCCACCTGTGTGAGAGGAGGAAGTCAGCAGCTGAGTTCGCGCAGTAGCCCAGTCCCCGGGGGCCCGGAGCTCGCATATGCAGCCAGTCCAGAGAAGGGATCATGGAGACTGCCTACAGTTATGCTCGTCCAATCGTACTTACGGACCACATCCCAGAAGTAGTTTCGAGCACCCGGAAAAGTGTCGGAACAGTGTCGAGACAGTGTCGAACGAGTGTCTCCCAGGGCCCGACACGTGAAAATCCCCCAAATTCGGTATTCTCTAGGTGCTCGAACATATTTCTGGTGATCAAGGCTAAAGTAGGTCGGAACATTATAAGCCTACGGTGCGATCGCGTGCGCGATCCCCTCCCGGGTCCCCCAGGGAGCACGCAGAGGCGCCCCCTCAGGCTCGAGCCCAGTCGGCTACGGAGAGGAGCTTCGAGGGGCTCCAGGAGGGTCCCCTCAGACCTCGGGGAGAGCCCAGACGCCGAAGATTGCGGACCCAGGGTCTCCCAGGATTGCTGGGTCCCTCCTGGAGCTCTCCAGGGACTTCTCGGGGCGTCCTTCGAGCTCCCAGGGACGCTCCCCAGGGCTGACGGGGGGCACCACGAAAAGAAACATCGAGAAGGACCCCAAAAACCTTGGAAAGACCCCAGACGCAGGAACCTGCCAGTCTGGGAAAGGTCTGGGATTTTCGGTGGCCGCTCCGAGGCCTCACGGGCCTCCAGATCCCCAGGGAGCGCCCCAGGAGGCCCGAAACAGGCCGCCAGAGGGCTGCTTGCTATCCCCCTCCACGCTCGGCAGGCGAGAGAGCGCCAGAGCAAGCCCGCCTCCCCGAGAAAGGCTCCAAGGGGCTCCAGGGAGGGCCCCAGAGATCCCGGGAAGATCTCAGGCGCACGCGCTTGCGAATCGGGGATCGCCCGGGATAGCTGGGTCCCTCCTTGAACGCTCAGTCAGGAGGCCCGAAGGCGCCTTCGGGCCCCCAGGGGCGCTCCCCAGGAGACTCCGGAATGCCCCCCTGCAGGGCATTTCGGAGTCTCCAGGAAGCGCCCGGAGGGCCCCCAAGAATTTGCGAAAAGTCCCTGGCGCGGGAACCTGGGATCCGTCTGGGATTCTCGGTGGCCTCTTCGAGGCCTCCACAGGCCTCCAGGGAGCCCCCGGGGCCGCCCCGGGTGGCCCGAGAGAGGCTGCAGCCCTATCCTCCTCCACGCACGCCGGGCGGGAAGGCTCCAAGGGGTGGGGGGGGGGCGAGGGAGGGGGACACGGGCCACCGAGGGGGCAGAGGGAGAGGGCGGGGGGGAAGGAGGGAGGCCCGAGGGAGGAGAGGAGGGGAGCGGGAGGGGCAGGGGAGGTGGGCGTCGCCAAGACACCCACCGGGCCGCTCGACGCCAGGCTGCGTCGCCGCGAGGCCGGAGCTCCGGCGGCGAGACGGGGACAGCACGGCGGCGGCGGCGACGCCGACGCCAGCGGCCAAGACAGCAGACGACGGCACAACAGCAGCGACAGCAGCGACCACAGGCGGCGGCGGCGGCGGCACAGGAGGCCCCAAGGAAGGAGCGGCGGACAGGGGTGCGGGGGAGCCTCGGCCCAGCCCGGCCCAGCCCTGTCCGTCGAGAGCAGGGAGGGGTGGAGGGAGGGAGGGGAGGAAGGTAGGTAGGAGTGGTGCTGTTTCTCTTCGCGGCTTTGGTCCGCACGGCGTGGGCGCCCGACCGAGCTCGGACAGTATCGCGAGACAACTCGTCCCTGTTGCCCTGCTGGCGGCGCAGGGGCGGTCGGCACTGGCGCCCGCCTGGGCTCGGAAGATGTTATGGCAAATCACTCTTTTCGGGTGGGCGTCGCCACCTTCCGTGGCAGGCTGTCGGCGCCTGGAGGGGGGGGGGGGGGGGGGGGGGCAGGCAGGAAGGGCTCTAATCTTCTGCCCGCCAGGCAGGAAGAGGAAGAGGAAGGGCTCTAATCTTCTGGAGGGGGGAGGCAGGCAGGAAGAGGAAGAGTCAGGGCTCTAATCTTCTGCCCGCCTGTTCTGGCGGCGACCAGCTGTGCGGCGGCAGGGCGGGCAGCGGCGGCTGCGCTGCTGGCGCCGGCGGGGGGTCACCCATGCCCCATGGGGCTGTCCACGCCTCGATCTTCTTCAAGATCCTCTCCCTCTGCTCTTTGAGGCAGAGATATGGTCTCGGCCCCGCTTGCGGAGCCACACGTGCACGGACCCTTTCTTTCACCTTGATCAGGGTGCCGGACGGAGCGTTTGAGCCCTTCGGGACATGGTTCCACTGGGCGCCCCCCCGAGAGGAGGGGTGCCGCAGTGCGCCACTGGCGGGGCCCCCGCTGTTCCAGGCCCACTGGGGAGGCGGTGGCCACCGAGGCCCTCCGCCCCCGCCAAGCCGACCAGCCTACCAGGCCGTGGGTGCTGGCTTGCGCTGGGCGCCGGGGCGCGCTGTCCAGCACCCCCGTTGCGTGGGGCTCGGCAGGGTAGCACACGACCCAGCAGCTGGCGCAGAGCAGCTGGAGGCCCGCGTCTCCCACGTCAGTGAGGAGCGTGACCCCTGGACCCCGCAGGTAGCGCAGGAGAGGCTGAGCGCGGGTTCGGCCCCTGGGTCGCCGAGAGGGTCTGCCGCTGTGGCGCGCCAGCCGCCGGCGGGTCCCCCTTGGGGTTGCGTTCCAGGGGGGCCAGCAGCCCCTGCCAGTGCGTCCTTGAGCCCGACGGGCCAGTCCCCGCAGCCCTCCTCCTCCCCATTAAGTTGGAGCCCGACACTACTAGCCTAGTCCCCGATCCAGCCAAAGTGAACGAGATGATGGAAGGCGAAGTTAGAGCCCGACAGGATCACCTGCAAGTCTGCCATCAGGGCATTTCTGGGGCGAAGTCGCCGCCCGACGTCGCCAGTGACTTTCGCACGGTGTATTCGGAACCACTCCAGGCGCGTCACTCTGAGAAGCGGACGGCGAAGTTGGAGCCCGACACTACTAGTCTAGCCCCTGATCCAGCCGAAGTGTGCGAGAGGACGGAAGGTGAACTTGGAGCCCGACGTGATCATTTGCAATTCCGCGATCAGGGCATCCCTGGGGCGAAGTCGCAGCCCGACGTCGCCAGCGACTTTCGCATTGTTTTCTTGGAGCCATCCCAAGCACATCATTGCGAGAAGCGGACGGCGAAGTTTGAGCCCAACCCTACTAGCCTAGCCCTGGATCCAGCCAGCGTGTGTGAGAAGAGGGAAGGCGAAGTTGGAATCCAATGCGATCAGCTACGAAGCTGGGATCAGGGCATGGTA